CCCTGGACTGTAGGACTCCTGGGTTAAGACCCTTCGGTAGATGTAAGCACAAATTATTTGGATACCCCACCTCTAATGAGCCTCCAAAATAAAAGCCATACCAAAGGACAGAGAGTGGGAAGGTTTGCAGGAAGTCCTGAAATCGAGCTGTCTGTTGCTGCTATCAGTCATACCCAAGAGCGTGCGTGTGTGTGTGTGTGTGTGTGTGTGTGTGTGTGTGTACACACCGCAGCATTTTATCCTGTGGGAAGAACCAGCAAAACGTGTTCCTAATAGGGCTGGTTTGTGTAAAGAACCTGAAATAAGAAAAAGGTCGTATACGGTTGACATCTCAGTCCGTTTGTTTTCCTTTAAAAATTTTCCATTTTGGAAAAAGACACATAGAAAAGAATATGTTCTTAAAAAGTTTCTTAAATCTTTTTCTCATGTTTTGGTACCCTGCTTTCCTGGGAAGCTCACCATAGACTGTGCTTGTCTTGGTGAGTCTTTCAGGGTTGCCTGTATCCTCGGCACCCAATTCATTTATTTTTTTTTACTTTTATTTTTTGGGGGTACTGGGGATTGAACCCAGGGGCACTCAGCCACTGAGCCACGTCCCCAGCCCGTTTTTGTATTTTATTTAGAGACAGGGTCTCACTGAGTTGCTTGGAGCCTCACTAAATTGCTGAGGCTGGCTTTGAACTCTGGGTCCTCCTGCCTCAGCCTCCCGAGCCGCTGGGATGGCAGGCGCGTGACACTGCGCTTGGCTGCCAAATTCGTTCATCATGCACTCATTGACTCACTCTTTCAGCTGGTGTTTCTTGGTGTTGGCATGTGCCAAGCTCTGTGAGACCCTGCAGGTGGTGATGTAGAGACAGGGTCCCTAAGCTAGTGGGGGGAGGGGTCCAACACATCACACAGTTGAAGGGAGGCTAATGATGGAGATGGCCGTTGTGGAGTAGTGGGCCCCTGGGAGGTGTGTGGAGGTGGGAGAGTGAGAGAAAACTCATCCAGATGGAGAGCAAGTCATTTTTCTCTCCAGAGTCCCCAAGCCCCAGTTGTGAAGCAGAACTACAGTTGTCCCCAGTTATCTGAGGTTTTATTTGCCATGGCTTTTTAATGACCTGTGGTCAACCATAGTTCAAAATTATTAAAAAAAGAAAATTMCAGAAATAAACGATTCCTAAGTTCTGAGTAGCATGTTCCTTCCTTCCTGTTTCATCTCCCACCTGGGACTTGACTCACCCTCTCATTCAGAGTATCCACGCCGTGTGTGCTACCTGCCCGTTAGTAACTTAGTAACCATCTTGGTTATCAGCTCGACTGTGGAGGTTCTGCGGTGCTTGCGTTTAAGTAACACTTATTTTAATAATAGCCCCAAAGCCTAAGAATAGTGATGCTGGCAATTCAGATAGACCCAATAGAAGCCACAGAGTGTCAGCTTTAATTGAAAAAGTGGAAGTTCTTGACTTAGTGAGAAAAAAATTAATTGTATGCTCAGGTTGCTAAGATCTACAGTGAGAATAAATGTTCTATCCGTGAAATCATGAAGAAGGAAARAGAAATCCAAGTCGGTTTTGCTGCCAAACTGCAAAAGTCAGAGCCACAGTTAAGATGGAAAAGGTACCAAATTCGCTGATATACACAAGGGAAAGAACAGTATCTGTAGAGTTCTGGGCCATCCTGGTTCTGAGCACTGACCTGGGGTCTGGAAGGCTCCTCCTGAGGATCAGGGGAGACTACTCATTCCCACGGCAGCCACCGCAGGCCTGGACCCGGTGACCTACAAGGCCCTATTACCCAGAGTTCCCACGGTCCTGTGAGTGGGAAGCAGAACGCTGCAGGGAGCTCAGCACCCACCAYGGCGGGGCAGGCTCTGGGCACGCTCACTGGTGCTGCTGCCGGTGCCACTTAGATCATGCTTGGCCCCGGTCCAGGGAGGGGTCATGTCCTTTGGCTGGATTCGTTGTCCTGTCGACAAGAGCTGCCAAGATCCTGGGGCAGGACCTGAGGGTGCTCTCCAGATGTGCCCGCCAGTCACTTCTCCTCCTCGGGTGGAGCCCCCTCGGGGACAAGCACCACTCTAAACTTTGTCCTTTTTTGGGGGATGGGTGGAGTACTGGGGATTGACCTTGGGGGCACTCGAGTACTGAGCCACATCCCCAGCCTTATTTTTGTATTTTATTTAAAGACAGAGTCTCACTGAGTTGCTTAGGGCCTTGCTAAATTGCTGAGGCTGCCTTTGAGCTTGCAATCCTCCTGCCTCAGCCTCCCAAGTTGCTGGGATGACAGGCATGCACCACCAAGCCCAGCTAAACTTTGACCTTGACCTTGAAGAATATCAGATGACAGGAAAAGTTCCTATGCTTGTCCCCTGGCCCTGGGCATCTTCCCACCTAAATAATCTCCTCATTGCTGAAATCTGGCTCCAATAGCCAAKAGGTTCTAGGTGCTCCTAGACGGTGGCACCTAACATCTGAAATCTGTCCCCACAACCTCCTATGCAAATGAGCAGGCAGCCTGGCGTGTGGCACCTGTCATCCCAGCAGCTCCGGAGGCCGAGGCAGGAGGATYGTGAGTTCAAGGCCAGCCTCAGCAATGGTAAGGCACTAAGCAGCTCAGTGAGACCCTGTCTCTAGATAAAATACAAAATAGAGCTGGGGTTGGGTCTCAGAGGTTGAATGCTCCTGAGCTCAATCCCTGGTACCAAAAAAAAAAAAAAAAAAAAAAAACGAGTTTCCTGTTTCAAAACCTGAGCTCACTGAGGTTCATCGAGGCTGGCCACCTGCCTTTCTAAGAAGCAGTGGCCAGAGTTTGCCTCAACGTCAAAGCCTCGGCCAGGTCACCGTCTCTCTGGGTCTCAGTTTCCCTGCTACAAAGCCTGGGTAGTGAAATCACCCGTGCCCGACGCTGCAGGTGGGCGTGGGAAATCAGGTGATGTCATGCTCTGAATAGTGTGTGGGCCGCTGGGATCCTGGGAACAACCATAACGGGCCACGGGCCACGTTCAAAGGCGTGGCTGTGTGTTTGTCTATTTAAAGACAGGGGACGTCCCTGGAGTGACCCAAGAGTCTTGAAAAAGCATTCCTGCTCCATGACAGCCATTTGAAAATCGAACGTTCCACCTGGGGCTACTGAAGTGTGAATAGAACATCTGCTGCCAGGGTYGGGGTGTGGTTTGGGGAAGACCCATCAGTAATCAGCTGGGGTACCTGTGTGTCATTTTAGCACTTAGGGAAGCACTTCCCTATCCATGGACCCTTGGATGGTTTCATTCCAGGGTGCAGCTTTGGAGACTGGGATACTGGGAAGGTTCCTGGTCCCCACACGGAGCAACTGTGTGAGTGGGGAGGTCCCATGGCCCGCCCAGACCTCAGTTTCTTCGTCTGTAAAATAGGGGCAGTTGTGTTCCAAGAGCAGTTCAGATGACTAAGCGTGGTGACTCACAGCAAGTACCTTGAAGAGCTTAGTACCGAGTGGACACTCAGTGGAGCTGAGTCAGTACTGATCCTGTTGTTTGGATTCCCGCGCCCACTGTCACGCACCCAGGGCTCTTCCTGATGCATCTCCTGTTCCCGAGGGGAGTAGAATTTGACTCCAGCAGAGGAAGTACTGGGGACAGAGGGAGCAAATTGTATTCCATGCACACGTGATCGTGTCAGAAGGAACCCACTGTTATATATCTATCTACAATGCATCAATGGAGGCCTTTGAAAAATGTGACTGGCACAGTTGTGGCCTCTCCTGGGGTGGCCTGGCCAGTGGGTGGCAGGCCCCAGCTCCAGCTGTGGGTCCTGACCCCGCAGTTGCTGAATATTCAGCAGCTCTGTGCTGGTTGATCTTCAAAGACCTTTGTTCACGGTTAATAAGCGCTTTGTTGCTGCCGAGAGGGGCGCGGCTGAGTCGGCCTGGACGCTGTTACACATGGCGCGTGTCACATCCTCGGGGTGTGCTGGGTCTGGAGACGTGGGAGGCTCTGGGTGTGGGAGGCTCCTGGCCATGGGCAGAGCCCCAGGCTCGTGTCTGTGTGTCATCTGTGGCCGGACAGTTGTTCTGTTGTGTCTGAATGTGTCCATCAGAGAGAGGGACTGTCATCCCGGATCTGAACAGCTGGGCGCTGCGCTGTGACCCTCGACCCATCGGCGGGCCTGTGCACCCAACCTGGCCTGAGCCTCGCAGCCTCCAGAGCAGCCCCTTRAAGTGTGGTCAGGCCGTGGGCCTCGGTGGCCTCCATCCAGGTTGCAACCTGATCTGATGCTCATGACCTCGGCTTCCAGGCCCGCTTGGGTCTCACCCCAGCCACTTCTCCAGTACCCGGGGGCTTCAGCCRTGTGTTATTTCTGCTGGTTCCCATGTCTGGTGAGGGTGGCCTGGGGTCTGGGGAAAAAAGCCCAGGATCTTGGCTCTTGCTGTCACCCAGTTCCGAGGCCTTTCTCCCTGTGGCGTAAGGTCTGCCCCTGCTTGTGGCTGCCCCAGGGAAGCCGAACTTCTTACCCAGAGCCCCGGGCTCAGGAGCTACAGACCACCAGGCCCTTTGATGACCTAGGGCTGGAAGGGAGAGCACCCCTCCTGTTGTGTCCTTTGGTTAAAATAAGTCACAGGTCCAGCTCCGAATTAGAGCTCTGAGGTTGTACAGCCTAAAGCTCGTTTGCACACACACGTGCAGAAAGTGAACGCATTTTCGGACTATGATTACTATTATTTTGTGTGAGTGCTGAGCACGCCATGAGCACTGTGAACAGAATAGGGTCCAGGTGATTCTGCTCCTGGCCTGGGCTGGTGAATGTCTGCAAGGTGGTGGCCTGGCGGGCTGATATTCCAGCAGGTTTGTGTGTTGGCCCCCAGGCCTGCCGCAGTGAAGGGTGGTTTTCTTTTCTCCCCTAGAGAATCAGTTGGTGGAAGGCTTCTCCTCGCCACCTGTGAACTTCCTGCAAGAATTGCCAAGCTACCGCTCGGTGGCCCGCAGGAGGACCACCATCCTTCCCCGGGACAAGCAGAGCGGCACCCTGCTGAAGCCCGCCGACTCCTACGGCTCCCACCTGGAGGGAGGCATCACCAAGAACCTCAGCAGCCAGTCCATCCGCAAGTACGCGCTCAACATCTCCGAGAAGCGGCGACTGAGGTGCGCGACCCCCGGGGCTGCGCGGGTGCTCTGCACGGGGATGAGCTTGTGCACGGGGGCTGCGCAGTGCTCTGCACAGGGATGAGCTTGTGCACCGGCCGTGTTCCCTGGGAGCTCACGTCACTGGACCTTGCTTCCTTAGGGCTGCCGAGAGGTCACGGAGACACCCAAACCCGTGACAGCTCACAGATTATCAGCCTCCTCCTCCTGCTTTTGATGAGCCGCCTCCTCCTGCTCATGATGCTCTTCCTTCTCTTCCTCCTCCTCCTCCTCCTGCTCCTGATGCTCCTCCTCCTCCTCCTGATGCTCCTCCTCCCCCTCCTGCTCATGATGCTCTTCCTTCTCTTCCTCCTCCTCCTCCTCCTGCTCCTG